CCTTGTGTTGGTTTCCCTTCCCTCTCCTTTCGTTCCTTACCCTAACATAGCTGTGTCTCTGTTTGGGGTAGGAATCACTATGTTGACTTGATGTGTCATTCACACGAGAGCAGAGCATTTAGAGACACAGTTGTGTTTTCTTCTCACGTATAACAGTGTTGTCGAAAGAAGGTGTCCGAAAATGTGCATGGCGCATTCGGAGATAATTTGTTTTGCCGAGAAGGCATAGAAAGGCGGTCTTCATCTCCCTACATGTGTGGACGTCCTTCTGTCTCCCGGTTGCAGGAGGGCACTTGCCCGCACAGTCACCGTGCAGCCATAAGAGTGGTGGATGCAAGTTGTTTGCTGATTCTAGCAAGATGGGTCTCACCGGTTGAAAAACCACCAGCGTAGATTGGAGGCACCTGCCATGCATGAGAGCAATAAGCAGAGGTTGCCGCCCAAGTTAGAGTCGATCCATCTCCAGGCCTTTTGGCGGCCCGATATGGGTCAGCTACCTGCGAGACTAAACGAAAATGAAGTCTGTGGATGCACAGTGCATGGTTGGAATGGGGGGCATGCACGGACAAGATTGTTGGTTCATTGTTTCTTTCTGTAGCTAGCAGAAAAACTTAGCGGATGTCAGTTTTACATGCGATTTCTCGCGCAACTTTTGACATGTAGCATGCATCACACGTGGTTTCAATCAACACAACATGTATGATTTACCCCGCTTGACGCTGAGCAACGAAAACAGTAAGTCCGAGATGTCATTGTTTGTCAAGATTGTTTGGTTGAGTATTTCATTGTATTGTGGAGTTTTCAATTATGTGTCCGAAAAGTGGAGATTGAGAACTCGATGCATTCATATGGTTTTTCGAACCAGCCTCAATTGCAAATCGCAAAATCATGATAAGTTTCTCGCAAGGTAGTTTCGTCTGGACACGTTTTGCATTTTGCATATTCTGAAGCTCCTGCGTTCTAAGTGGGGTTGTTGTAGGTTGAGCTCATGAGATTGTCCGCGTATGGAGGATGTTTGCCGAGAACAGAAGCTGTATAACGGTGGAGCCGCCAGGGCATTGTGCAAACAGTTTCACATGCTGCAAACAGGGTCGTGTTGGCAGAAGTTCGCCATGGCCGCTGCGCGGGACGATCGCTGTGAATCCTGGCATCACGGCAGGCACTGCAAGGCTGCGAAGCGCGGCCCGTGGCCGGTAGGTATTTCCTATTCAACTTGATGCTGCTACTTTTTATGTTCATTGAGCTTAGATTATCGTCGCGTCCGACGACAGAATGTCATGAGAGCTTTCAAGTTGCAGCGTGTCTGAATTGTTGGGACAGTTGGATGGACGCCAGGTCCAAGATTCCCACGCTGATCTGATATGGTTGCTTGTTCGTGAGGCGCAGCCAGCCATCGTTTATGGAATCGATTTCAGTGGAGCGTCCGATGCTGGCAAGAAGCTTTTCGGATGCAAGTAACAAGTGGCAGACGGGACAATGCAACTCTGATCATTTGTAGCCAGCGCAACAAGGCTGCTTATAGCTCGCTGCGATTTGCAACGGTCGAGCGTTGGGTGGACGTTGACGGTCGTGTCCATCCGCGCTGCCCGAAACCTTCCAGGCGGCGGCTTGAGCCCCGAGACCGCCACGGCAGCACTTCGGTCAGAATTGTTGGAGGCCGCGAAATCCCAAGCACAGGTCATTGTCGGCGTCGATAGCCCACCAAGCGTTGCCAAACAGTTCATTGCAGAGACAGACTGGGCGACTTGGGTGGCAAAATTTTCCCGCAACTATCCTACACCGACCGCTTTTCGGAAGGCCACGTCACTGCTGCGAAGCGTGCACTGCAAAAAGTCACGTGTCGAGCCGAAGAGGGTGACAGATGTAAGGCATAAGACGCCTTTGGCGCCCCAGAATTTACGGATGTACAAGCAAACCTGGTGGGCAATCACTGGTGTGTATTTCCCACTGGCGCAGAGCGGCTTTTGCGTTGCGCCATGCATGCCGATTGGAAGGAGGCAGAAACATTTCTTAATGGAAAGCTGTCCAGCCTCACTGTTGAAGCGCCTGGATTTGTATTCGAAGCCGTACAAGGGAAGGGACGTCAAGCACGGACAGCGGCGTCGGTTCATCATGAAATCGCTCATGTTCCTTGGAAGTTACGAGTATTTGCTGTTTGTGTCATTGCCCATGCTTCCCTCTACGAGGAAAGGCATTCCAGTGGGAGGCAGGAGCAAAGCGAAGCTGCGTGTGGATTTCGGTGTCAGGATTGGCTTCCGTTCACATGCATGAGAGTTGCACCGTTTCACTTTCACATGGTCTGAATGTCGTTAAAACAACATGTTACATGTTGCCATGATCTATAATCTATATCTCCGAAATTCTTCACCAGGACACTGACTCAGAAGCTTTTGACGGATGCCAGCGCTGATTCCTTGGATGCTGTTTTGGCAGCTGTGGGTGCTGCCTGTTCCGTACGTCGCAACAACTTCCCAGCACCTGAAGACGGAGAAATGTGTCTTGGTAAAGGCATGCAGAAAAGACCGTAGATGGTTGTTTCGCACCCCCCCCGAAAGCTTGGATGCTTTGGCCTTCAATGTCTAAGGCTTGACGTGTACAAGCTGGAGGCGTGTGTCTACAGCTGACGTCGACGCACAGCAGTCCTGTAGCATGGCAGTCTCATTGTGGGCCCCAGCAGGATGGAGTGCACATTCCATGGAGTCCGCTCAAGTTTGCACTGCGCTCGCAAAAAGCTGTATGATTGTCGTACTGGCAACGAAACCTCCTTACTTCGTCCATGCGAGATTGTTCGAACAACCGCGTTGAACAAGCTTGTAAAAAGAAATTCACGCTGGCCGCAGGAAGGCAATAGTTGCCGGATGTGTCGTTCCTGAGCCAAGTAAAAAGTATCATGATGATGCTGCACTGCTTCAAGCTTGCTTCCCAGCACATCAAGCCTGCAAGAAAAGCTTCACAAAACAGCTGCGTCTGCGGAATAGAATCATGGGCGGCAGCACCCAACATTGGGCCGCTGTAGGAGCCATTTGATCAGCTGTAGCACGCAGGAGGCAGACGTGCAAGAGAAACAGATGGCTTTTGCTGAGCGATACACGGCCATGGTGCCATGGGGCTCTCTGGTGCTAGCGAGCGGCACTGTTTGTGCGACTCGCCTTGTGTTTGGCTTCAACCATGTTCTGCGATACAAGCCTGCGGGCGTGTGTGAGCTGAGGCACACGCCCTAGAGCACTGCCTGCGCTGTCGGAAACAATGCAGCGAACTTTTCGACTTTAGTGGAGACGCGCTGCTCCACGGCAAGTTTTGGGTTCTCATCTCTTGCAGCTTCTTTCATGGCCAGAGCCTGAGTCAAGTCTTTGAGCATACTCAACAAAACAAAGGTTCCTTTGCCAATCTCTGGGTTCTAAGGCACTCACTCGCACCTTCTGCGAGAAGTGTTTCTCTTATTGCTTGCGGGTGTTCCAGCAGAAGAGGAGTTGGGAACACCTGTTTTCGTCGTTGCATACTTAATGTCCGGGGCGTTTGGAGCCGTCTTCAGCTGGTTGACGTTGCGGCGGACGTTGCGGAACAGCCCAGACTATGCAGCCATGCCCAGGCAAGGGGGTGTTTGAGCTGTCCTTGGAGCCATGGCATATGTCGCGTCATGTTCACACGTTCGTCATGTTCGCTCGGCAGGCATCACGTGGATGCGGTGGCAGACCTTTCCAACAGCAGAGGAGCCAGCTCCTGCGTGTATGGGGCTGCTGTCTTGGCGATTCTAGTCGCTGGAGACCGTGGCCTTGAAGACTGTTTCGGGGTCAGGTCCGCTGTCGCACACTCTTTGTTGCTGGCGGCTCGAATCCTGCCAGAAGTATTTTCCCCGAGAAGCAGCAGAATTAGAGAATACCCATCCGCCGCAGCTTTTCTGGCAGCCCTGCTGGTATTTGCTGCATACAGGTCACCAGTATCGATATCGGTGGCACAGGCAGTCAGTCTTTGGCTTGCAGTCCACTGTTTGCTTCGCCTCTTTCCCGCTGTTGTCTCACTGCACCCGGAGCGCGAGTATGCGGCAGTTGATTATGCGGGCCACGTCTATGGCGCTTTGTACGCAGGTCTCTGCGGCGCCTGCCATTTGCTCTTGAATCGCAGAAAATCTCCCAGCACCCAGGCCTGGCTGGCCCTGGCTGTGCTCACGCTTTCAACACTTCCTCGGATAGAACCTTTGCTTCGTTCTGGCGGCTGACCTGCGAAAGCGGTGCGGAGGCTCCTCCTTTTCCGAGGCCGGACTCGTGCTGACCCATCGGGCAGCTTTCACGATCATGCCTTCCGGGTCACTGTCTGTCACTGCAGTGCTACAAGCTGCAGTGTGTGAAGCCTCGTCTGAACAGAGGGTGTGGGACGTACGTTCGTCCGCACGGTCTTTATTGACAAGACACATTTCCAGATCGCCTTAGAATGTCTTAGACAAGTTTCGCAGCTTCGACAGCGGTCGCGACCAAAGTGGCACCTGCACAGAATCGGCACTTGCCAGTCAGCATTTAGGACACTGTTGCAAAGCAGGCACTGCTTCCTCGCTCGGTCGGTTCTACTGCAGGGATGGTTTGTGTGGCCATCATGGACAAAGATGAACAGAATAGACAACGGAACATCACTACGTTGCGCACATTTCCGAGCTCTAGATTCCAGCTAGCAGCTAGATGTTAAGCCGACATGACCAGAAGGAAACATAGAAACAACCCGGTCCCTCAGCAGATGTCGATTTGCTAAGCTTCCGCACGCCTGTGCCTCAGATCTGCGGAGCACCAGACGACTCCCGTGTCCCGTGTTGGCAGTTCGTAGCATCTCGGCTCCCGGCCCAATGGTGATCGCTGGCCTAAACCGAACCACGGCCACTTTGGCTCATTGTTTCTTGTTGACTCTGCCACAGACAAAGCTCCCACGCATCTTTTGTCCGCACCTTGCCGTTCCGTGCCGATGGCAAGTGGAAGATGCCGATAGCCTGAGTATGCTGTAAGTCAACGGAATCCATGGCAATGGTGGCAGCGGAGTCGGAGTCCGGTAAGTGTGCGGATATGGTCTTCTCTGCAAGCCGCGGTGAACAGTCAGCGTATCTTCTCGCACCATGTCAGGGCTGCGGTAGCTTCGCAAATCTGGTCAGGAACAAAGAAGCCTTCGTGAGCTTCATGCGCCAAGTCTTGCACCTGATTGAGAAGGTGGAGGGCCACCGAAGTTATCATCTTCGAGTTTCTGCAGGCTCTGAGCCATCCACAGGGAGTGGGCGTCGGGGGGGTTTTCTACCTCCACTGAGCGACCAGCTGGCGGCCCATATTCGCCAAGCAGGCTGGCCGTCAAGCATGGACGCAATTCCATGGTTGCCACGAACATGCGAAGTCGAAGAGGCTTTTCGGTGTTTGTCTTTACCGACAGCGATCGCAAGCGAGAGCCTTCAGGTGCCATGTTCCCAAATCGTTTTGAACTATGTGTGCGCAAGACCATCTTGTCCCTGCCATGCGCAGATGCGGACAACCTGCTGAGTTTGGACGCCCTGGTTGACTACACGGATGCATCCGGCAGGAAGCAGGTCGATAAAATACAAGCTTCAAGCTTTGTAGCTGCTTAGCATGGTTGAATGTCTGTTCAGAAGATGCCTTACCAACTTGTTTGAGCTTCATCCCTTCAGGCAAGTGAGGCTGCCAATTACATCCCGGGACATCACCCTTCGTGCTGGTGCTTTCACCCGTTGTGTACTTGATGCACAGGATCCGCGAGTGTTCAGTCCTGATCTTGGCACACTGGACCTCTCTTGTGATTTGTCAGGGTCGCCCGATCTTGGTTGTGGTCCCGAACCGTTGCGAAGCTCGGCGGAGCACCGGCGGAGCACCGGCGGAGCACCTTGCAAGAGTGCTAGAGCCTAGAGCAGCTGCTGGCCCGGCCTTAAGGTGCAGTTTCAGTCGGAGTGCAGTGATGACGAATTGGCCGAGCTTTGGTCTCTGGCACTGGATGTTATCGATGACCAGTGGGGCCAGAAGGTGCTTGCATGTGCTTGTTTACACAACGCCGTCACGAAGTGGTCAGGGCACTTGCCGCTATTCACTATGGCATCATTCAGTGTTGCGGGATGCATAGCCACTTTGCGGAAGGCAGTCCAGGATGTTGATCAGTTTGAGAGCATCCGCCTCAATGCCGGCTCCTTCCAAAACGTTCGGCATCTACACCTCAAGGTGTGGATGAGTGGCCGAGGGCTTAGGATCAAACCTCTGTTCACGGTATGGCAGCTGCTGCTTTTGTTTGAGGCCCCAGCTTCCAAGCCAAGTGGGCCAGCCATCCCGGCTACCAAGTCCTCGCTGAAAGCCGAGTCTTAGACAGAGCTCTGCCCTTGCGCTGATTCCTTTGACAAGTGATATGAAGATGGCGGATGGCGCGAGTTTGCAATGTGCATTGGCCCATTGGCCAAGGAGAGAAGCGGCGGAGTTCCCTCGGCAGCGCAGAGCGGAAGCGAAAAGTTGGTCTTGACTTTGCGCTTGGAGCGACGGAGCGATGTGTTGCAGTAGATCCCAGGAGGCATGGCTCAATCGCGCTTGGCCCGTGTCCCCACACCAAGGTGCGTATGCTCGACTTTACGCCGTGCGGGTGATGCCAGGACCGGCTTCGGACTGAGAGCTGAAGCCAAGGGCCAAGTCGTATCTCGCAGGAGCTGAACGACCCAGTCCGGGCCAAGCGCGCGTTCGCGGTGGCTCGGACAAATCCAGAGGTCGGAAAGCGTGGAGAAATTCAGAACCGATCAACGGTGGTGTAGATCGGGTTTGAGGGTGTTTTCAGGTTCGTCGAGTTTGAATTGCAGCCAGTTCTGATCAGTTGGTAGCTGGGTTGGTGTCATCTTTTGCAGATAGGCCCGTAGGCGACCACTGGCAAGCCGAAATCTGAACATGACATCAGAGAAAGTTCTGCCCCGATCCCAAAGTGTGAGCTTTCCAGATCAGGTGCTAGCAGCGGCTGCGACCTTACGCTCGTGTCCTGTTCGTTTCAGACCAGATTCCTCTCTTCGATGTTGGCAGATGGTGGCATATTCGGATGGCTTCTTGTTTTCTTATTCTTCTTCTGCTTTGTCGTTGTTGTCGTAAAAGCCCACCTCTATCGCAGATGTATTGGCCTGCTGGCTTAATCTAGAGGTCGAGGTTGAATCTATTTCAACGGTTTTCCCTTGTGTTCCAGGATTCTTGCAAGTTGCTGGGCGGTTTTGCGGTGCGAAGCTTTGATTGATTGACTTGGATCGCTTCTGTGTCCTCGAACATTGAGTCTTCGGAGCGATCCTGCACCCGAGAACTTGTGACATGCGACCGGCAAACACAGACGAGGTAAGAGAAACTCTTCGATGAATCCAAAGGAGTTCTGGGTCAGATTACCTCATGCCTGTATCAACCTGCTGGCAGAAGTTTGGATGTTGTGATCCGCAAACCACGATTTTGAGACGAGGAAAAGGGACTATGTGTAGCGGGAGCTGGCTGAGATTTTGAATTGTCCTCAGTTTTCTGCCGTGCCAAGGCACCGACAGCGGAGGCAAGGGTAGCGCATCAGAAGGTGGGAAACGGGGCAGTGACAGGAGGTTGAATCAATAGTGACTTTGCAGCTCGGTTGTCGTTTCGGATGCCTAAAGGTGTTCAACCTGATGGGAGAACCACGGAGGACCCAAGAGATGTAAAATCGAGCAAGCTACTGGTTCGCAGCAAGACAGGTCGCGGAAAGGGGACTTCTGCTCAAAGGCGCCAGCCGGGGTCCTTTCGGTGGATTGGGCACGTTCAAGCTTTTGGTCTTGTAGCTACTTGTAAGTGCAGTCCGTGTCCATATGTCTTGTGTCATCTAAGCCGGCGTAATCATCCCGTAAGCAACCGGTGGCCCTTCGGTGGGCACTCGGGGTTCAGTGCATAACTGTGGCTGCGGGGTCTTCCGTGCCATCCCAAGCATTGCTGAGCTCATGCGTGGTCTGGAATGCTGCTTTCCTTGAGTGACTGTCTGCAACACACGAGCTTGCTCGCAGGGTGCTGGGTCGTGGCCAAAGCCCCCACAGCGAAAGCAGCACGCCTTCGTTGATGCCACCCAACCCGGCTATGGCAACGAGCCGAGATATCCAAGGAGCTCTTGTGACCCGTGCCAGTGCTTAAAACAAGTTTAGTGAGGCAGCCCATGCCTGGTCCACAGACGAAAGCAGCCCGGACGAGGAGTACATTCTGGTTCGATGCAAACCACAGCGAAGCCATTCACTTATCTGTCCACCGAACAGGCTGGAGAAGACAGATTCCTTTTCGGAGAGGAGACAAGGTCGGCAGCAGTTTGTGATCCTTGTTCATGGTTGGTAGCAGTTCATGCGTTCGGAAGTTCTTGAAGTTCACTGAATTTTTGGTCAGGTTTGCTGAGTGCTGTTTGCTTCTCGACCTATTAGCAGGGTGCCCGTTCTTTAGTACAGCTTTCCGTTGGTGGTATCCCTTGTCCACATGATGACAATTGATGACAGGCGAGACAGGTGTTGCTGGACAAGTCAGGTTTCAGGGGCACGGCGAAGATAAGAACAAAGCACAAAACACGACTTGGCCAGGAGCTCAAGCGGCGGCTACATGAAACGACGCCGCTCATCTCGGGCTGCAGGCTTGACTGAATTGCCCCATGGATTGGGCAATTCAAGGGTCCGTGTTGCGGGATGATCCAGGTTCCGCGGATGCAAGGACGGATCCAGGTGCAGAAAGAACCGCATCCAGTCAAGAAGATTGGGCTTATGAAGCTTCGTTGCCCGTCATGATCGAGAGCGATCAGTTGCAGTTGGGAAAAGTTGTAAAACTGACTCATTTTGTCACAGGTAGCGAACGGAGCGTCCCCTCGGAGAGCTCCGCACGCGAGAACCAGGCCTGCTGCCTGGGTGCTCTGAGGGCCCAGGTTCATCGTCCTCTTTCGCCATGCCTGAGATGGGAAGAAAACTTCCGAGCATGCGAGCTCATGTTCTGCTTACATCCACGGACACTTGAAGTGACACGAGTGTTCATGTTGTTTGGTCAAAACACCTGAAGGCCGGCCGGAATGACCGGTCGAGCCCCCACCGGCGATCCTTGCTGGAAAGCCTTACGGAAGGGGTGCGCCCATGCCGTTCAGGGAGGTGCTTTCGGATTGGATGGTGAGGCGAGTAAGAAAGGGCATGCGGTAGCAGGTAGCACTTTCCATGCCAGTGCAGGCTCCGGAAGTGAGAGATAACGTGATATGATATATGTACTAAGATTCAATCTGAGATGTTTTGTGTTTTGTACGGACGCCGAATCTGGAGTCGGGTTATGCGGCATAGTTGACAGGCCTGATTAGGCAATCCAAGGTCTGGCTCTCCAGAAGGAACCAAGCCTTCCTCATTAGGGTGCAGTTGCCGGGCCTTTCAATGATTCAACGTTTGGGCTTTACCCCGTTCCAAGAAGACCTAGTCGGCCCCGGGCAGGTAAGTCTTGAGTTTTCTTCGCCCGCCCTGATTGCCTCGTGGGTTGGTATGAAGGTGGCGAACCTCTGGGCCCGCCCAGAGGCCCCACAAGCGACTCCACCTTCGTCGCGGGACCCAGGGTAACATGTGCTTGCAAGGCTAGGCACACAGCAGCTTGTCAAGTGTTGGCTTCGGGTGTCAAGGGGCTGATGGAGGACAGGTGTGTGTGTGTGTGTGTGTGTGTGTGAACCTCCCTAGCACATGGGAGCAGAGGGTCACTCCTACACTGTTTGCAATTTCGCTTTTCAACATAATCCGGCATTGGACATTTACCAAATCAACTGTTGCAGGGGGATCAGGCTTCCAGTGACTGACCTGATCCAACGAAGCTAGGTCACTGGAAGGGAAGTGATTGAGGACGCTCAGTCATGTACCTGCGCAATTTTCGGCAGCCCCCTGTGGTGCCAAGATTAGTTTGAGGACAGGCCCCCTGTGGTGTCCAGATTATACAAACAAGTTGTACGGTTGCCACAATCTGAAAAACTTTTGCAACATGAACAACATGCCTCTCTTTTTCCTCTTGCACTCGTACTCTTGGCCGAATCCATCAGTGTGATCAGCGTGGGTCGTTGAGACTCCAGAGCAACGGCTTTCCGTCATGGCGCCGTGGTGACCCTCCGGGGAGACCGGTGATGAACCGGGTGTTCAGCCTTCGTTCAGATCGTTCAGAATCTCCCGATGCTACTTTATCTCTCTCTCTCTGATGCTCGCATGTGAGTCTGACATGAGTGCAGGTGCAGTAAGGAACGGCTAATGCAGTAAAGTGCGTCTAGTGAGCAGGTGCTACCTCGCTAGTCTGCCCTCTATTCTACCGCTTCTTTATTCCTCAGGGACTGCAAGGGCATGTGCACCTGACATGAGGGCAGACGCGGTAACAATGTCTACAGCAAGTGAAACAGCGCTCTCTTCGGAGAGTACTCGGCCCTCTTCCTTCTCTCCGTCTACGACCTCTCAAATCAGTCCAGCAGGGACAACCAGGACAGCCTGCACTTTGCTTGTGCAACTGTGTTTGTTTCACCCACTTCGTTGCAGCTATGTGGCCGGATTATTTTACCGCGCAGCCACCAGCAACACCATACGCACCAACAACCCGACCGGTGCTTAATCAATTTCACCCGAACACCTGGGTACCGCAGTCACAAGGCTACCCAGCAATGATGCCAACTGGCATTGCTGCCACTCAGCAGCACACACTGCCGACACAACCCACTACGATCCCTGTCGAGCAGACGCACAGCTTCCCCATGATGCCGTGTGGACACACTGCTCCTATTCCACAGCATCCGACGGTATATACACATCTCAGCACACCACAACCCCAGATGCCACAACAACCTCCAACCCAGCAATTCATGTCACAACACCCCCCCACTTTCTTGAACCCTGCTCTTTTGCCTACCCATCCAACAGTTTTTCCCACGAGCCCATCCAATCTGACACCGCATCAGCCCCAGCCTACCACATACAACATTCCTTTTACACCACCTGCTCCACAACCCCAACCTGCACCTTACAACATCCCTTCCACACAACCCGCTCAACAACCCCACACACCGCCGCCAACAACAATCCAACAAGCTTCACAATCTCACCCCACCAGTGTTACCACTACCGATGCTGCACACATTGCCCCGCAGACACCGGCAATGACTCCCCAACCCCAACCAACAAACACAGCCAACACCCCCTCCGTTAGCACATTGCCACCCACACAACCACCCCCGGCTACGGGATCGGCAGACACCGACCAGTTCGCAGCACGCACTTCTCCCCACCACCCTCCGTTGCCACGCAGGCGACGGCGCTCACCCACACGCAGCAGAACTCGCACCGTGAGCACTAGACGCCGACGACGCACACGCAGCAGAGCACGACCTGCAAGCAGCGGGGACAGCACCGCCGACGCAGACACCACCGATCCCGCGACACCCGCAGAAGTCGTTCTCGCAGGGACACCAGGCGATCTTCGTCGACACCTCCGCGGACCTCGGTTGTGCTCCGTAGCTATTCTACAGTGCGTGATGATGATGCCAACAAGTGGCATTACAGAGCCACACAGCCACGTCAGAGGCCACCTACCCCACCCAAGGTCCCACAAAGGACATTGGCCTCGCAGGTTCAGCGAATCGCCCTTCGCATCAAGGGCAGCCAAGCAGCACAACAGCAGCCCCCAGCCGGACAGGGCACATCCTCCCGCCAACAGGTTCAGCACAATCCCTCCAGCTCTATTCGGACACCTGCCCCAACTTTTGATGCATCCACAGCTGCTGCCCCATCGGGTCAGCCAACCCTCGAACAACTGGGCAAACAGAGCAGACCACCACAGATTGATGTGGCGCCTTTTTCTGAGCTTTACGATCATGAAAAGCCGACCCCCCACGCTGTCGACATGGAAGAAGCACATAAACTCGCCAAAACCTTGGGCGAGATAGCTGCTGACAGCGATTTCAGGCAGGAGACTTTAGCCGAATTTGCACATGCCGTGCTACAGTCAGGCACGCGATCAGCGTGCAACGAACTGGGGGCAGTGCTGACGCCAATATCGGACGGCGTGCATACTATGTTATTCATCCCGTGGGCTGGAGAGCAGCGCAGAGCATTCGGCACTCGTGCCACCGACCCACCAGGGGAAACATACATCTACACCGCCGGACACGGCACGAGCATTGCAAGTGCCGCGCGCATAATGCGCGAGGACTTGGTCCGCCCAAGTTCAGTCAGCCATTGCTTCGACGACAAGTCCTATCCACCCATTCCCTCTTGCGTCATATACGGGAATGCGACCCCAGGAGATGTATCGGAAAGCACGGTACATATAGTTACCGATCAATGTACACGGCGGCCGAAGGGCCAACAGGGAGTGATCGTCATCGGGACAATACGGACTAAGTATCAGCATTACAAGATGACGTATCGGGACATGTATAGAGAAGCCTTCATCGTGGGGCGAAAGGGTGTCGTGCGGACCCCAGAGAAGTGGGGATTCCACTCGGGGCATTTCAGCATCGTTGGATTCGGCCTTATTCAGTGATGTTGCTTTCTTTCTTCTTCCGTGTCTACCTTTCATTCTCGAGTATCTTTTTCTTCCAGGCCTGAATCCCGTTGCACATAGCTGTTTGCAATCAAGCATTTGCTCCGACCCCGCTTTTGAGCCAAAGAAGAGACGATGCAGCTGCATGCTGGATGCATCGCACAAGTTGATATCGACACTCACGCCAACCATGTTGCTCATGCATGTGCCACTTGCAGCTTTTGCAGTCATAGGCAATTGTAGTGCCCCATTGTGCAACCATGTACAAGCCGACACAGCCTCAGTGGCATACAACAATGCCAACAGGCATCATCGGTACAGCAATCAGTACGATGCAGCGACAAACAGCCTCGACCAGCAGCACCCCAATGCACCCGATCTCCCCACCACCAGGGATTCACAACATCCCACCACACACCTCACCCCTAACCCCAACTACTTGGGGTTCAGCTCACACTTACAGTCACAACACCACTTTCCCCCCGTTCCCTCCACCCCCTCCCCCACCCCAGCAGTTTTCCGGCCCAACATCACCCACCACACTGCCAACCCCCACACCTGCCACTCCTCAACACACCTTTGCGAGTCCATCTCCGATGACGACTCGAAACCCCAGCATTTCTTCACATACATTACCTCAGGCCACCGTCACACCCCAACAACAACAACACCCCAATCTCACGCCTGCTAATCCCCAGATACCAAACGACTTCGTTCAAACACCAGAGCATTGGGGCAACAGACAGCTTTATGGCCTCAACCTACCCAAACATATCCAATCCACACCACATTCAGTACACAACCGCACGGCAGGCATGCCGATCGCAACAGCACCATTGGTCGCATTTCTGCGACACAATTGGTCCTCGTACTGGCTACGTTACGCCGCACACGGCTTCGACATCCATCTCACATGCAGCAAACACATCAGCGAAGCCGTCTTTACCACTGAACTTATGGGTCAACTCCGAGCACGGAGAATTGATCTGGACCAAGCGGCCACCGCATTTTGCTGGCAAGAAAAGCTCACACTCGCAAAACGGCCAGCAATGTCACACCTCATCAAGGAATTGGTGTTATACCTGCAAGAGCTGCAGGACCAGTACAATGACGGCAACAAAAAGGACAAGCAAGACGTCAAATCAGACACAGATAACACACAATCACAACCCACCGAATCTCCAACACCACCACAATCCAGCAAATCACAACCTCATCTCCCACTTCAACCTTCGCAGCCGACAGAGGCAGACACTCTGGCGGCACATCGCATCAGCGACCTGGAAGCACGACTTTCAACAGCACTGGAGACAATTGAAACTCTCCGTGCTCCGGATGCACACAATGAGGCACCCAGCACACCAGCACCAAAGAAACCAAAACGAACCACCGCACCTAGCACTCCCATCAACACGCCCTCTCCACCACCTCTCTCAATTTCCACAATTGAGATTTCCCCCACCACAACCACTCGTGGACAAAAACGTGCTACCATCGATGACTCTACACACACCGACACCAGGCCTACCACTGGTGGCCTCTCCCCTTCCACCACAACCGTTGCAGAACAAGACACCAACGCGTTACATGCTTCCCCAGCATCGTCATCCACCACAGGTATGCATTTTCCGGGACGCTCCACTCTGGGCGCCAAGCGACAGAAGCAGTCAACTCTTACACCAACGAAGGCGGCACCCCTCGATCCCAAGATGGATCCCCAGCGCATCTTTCAGCAGCCCACAAAAGCCAGTGTTTGGTTTCAGGATCATTTCACTGGCGTTCACTCCGAATCCTGCATTACCAGATGGTTTGGTGCCATCAAAGGCATCAGCGACAAACAAAAAACACAGGTAAAAAAGTACCTGGACATTGTTGCTTCGGAATTCCCTTCACTCAGCAACTCACAAGAGCAGACACTGCAGACCGCTGCAGTCGCCTGGGGTGTCCCACCCAAAGCCATCGACAAATTTGGCTCCCCAGCACTGATCAAACTTGTAGCTATCATCAGTCAGATGACAGAGTGACTCAGACAGTACTTGAT